AGCTTGAGGAGACATGGCAGCGTTTAGAGAACACCCAGCAGCTTGAGGAGACATGGCAGCGTTTAGAGAACATCCAGCAGCTTGAGGAGACATGGCAGCGTTTAGAGAACATCCAGCAGCTTGAGGAGACATGGCAGCGTCTAGAGAACACTCAGCAGCTTGAGGAGACATGGCAGCGTTTAGAGAACACTCAGCAGCTTGAGGAGACATGGCAGCGTTTAGAGAACATCCAGCAGCTTGAGGAGACATGCAGCGTTTAGAGAACATCCAGCAGCTTGAGGAGACATGGCAGCGTTTAGAGAACACCCAGCAGCTTGAGGAGACATGGCAGCGTTTAGAGAACACCCAGCAGCTTGAGGAGACATGGCAGCGTTTAGAGAACACCCAGCAGCTTGAGGAGACATGGCAGCGTTTAGAGAACACCCAGCAGCTTGAGGAGACATGGCAGCGTTTAGAGAACACCCAGCAGCTTGAGGAGACATGGCAGCGTTTACTGAAAGCTGCTGATACAAAACGCTGAAGAAGCTCAAAACACAACGGAATATGAATTGAAATACGTGTAAACACCACAAAGCATCATCAGTGTGTTTTTACTCACCGACTCGAGTCGACCCGTCACTGAAGACGTTCCTGTCCGGAGGCTGGACAGGTGCATTCTGGGATTTTGAGACAAAAATCAGGATTTTGAGGATAAAATTGAATTTTGAAAAATATTGTTGAATTTTTAGATTTTGAGGGAAAAACAAAATCGGAATTTTGAAAACATTTTGAAAAAAGTCAGAATTCTGAGATTTTTAGATAAAATCTTAATTTGGAGATTTGAGAAAAAGTCAGGGTTTTGAGAAATGTCTTTGAGCTAAATCTTAATTTTGAGACTTTTAGATAAATTCTTAATTTTCAGATCGAGAAAAGAAACCTGATTTTGAAAAAACCTAATTTTGAAGGGGAAAAAAACAAATGTTGAGAATTTTAGAAATGTCCACATTTTGAATTTTTCTAAAAAAGGTAAATATTTTCAGGAAATGCAACATTTGCGAAAAACTCTAAATGTTCAGAAAAAAGTCAAATTTTCAGAATTAATATTTTTGAGAAAGTCAGAATTTTGGGAAAAATGAGATTTTCAGAAACGGTTTCTTTAGCAATTAAGTGTTGATAAAGCTGACGACGCTATGCAAAGTAATAGCAAGTCAACTTTAACAGGAAGAACCAACACAAGCTTAAGGTGAGAAAAAGTGGATATTCTAAGATGTTGAGAAAAAGTCAGAGTTTTGAGAGATTTCTGAAAAATGTCAGAATTTTGAGACATTTCGGAAAAATCTTAATTTTGAGATAAATTCTTAATTTTGGGGCAAAAAAACCCGTTATTTTGATATTTTGAGAAATGTCCAATTTTGTTGAAGAAAGTCAACATTTAGAGATTTTCTAAAAAAGGTAAATATTTCCAGATTTTCAAGAAATGCCACATTTGGGAAAAGTCCAAATGAAGCCCGTCAGAATGTTGGGGAAATTAGATTTTCAGAAAAAGTTAGAATTTGTAAAAATAGTTTCTTTAGCAATTAAAGGTTGATCAACTTTAACAGGAAGAACCAACACAAGCTTAAGGTGAGAACAGGCTGACCCGTTCCTCGCCTTTTTAGGATAAACATAACGTCCAGTTATTTATTTCCCTTCGCAATCAGCGTGTTTTTATTTTGTCTTGTTGCCATTAACGAGAGCAGATTGGACTCTTCCTGTGATTGTTGCTAATGGAGTAAAACACCTCGTCACTCAGTCCTTTATAAACAACTCCGCCCACTTCCTGTTTCCTGCTGCAGCTAAACTCAGTCATTCAAAACTGATCTCCTTCTGCAAGGATTTCAGAAACACTTCTTCTAAGAGAGAAGTGTTTTATTTCCCTTTCGATCGGCCGAAAGACGAAGCAACGAAACGAGCATTTTAAGAGTTTTATGTGTATTTTGAGGAAAGTCCAAGAGTTAATAATAATACTTAACTAGCTTACGTTAACTATCTTTCTAACTACTTAACTAGCTTACGTTAAATATCTTTCTAACTACTTAACTAGCTTACGTTAACTATCTTTCTAACTACTTAACTAGCTTACGTTAACTATCTTTCTAACTACTTAACTAGCTTACGTTAACTGTCTTTCTAACTACTTAACTAGCTTACGTTAACTATCTTTCAAACTACTTAACTAGCTTACGTTAAATATCTTTCAAACTACTTAACTAGCTTGCGTTAACTATCTTTCTAACTACTTAACTAGCTTACGTTAACTATCTTTCTAACTACTTAACTAGCTTACGTTAACTATCTTTCTAACTACTTAACTAGCTTGCGTTAACTATCTTTCTAACTACTTAACTAGCTTACGTTAACTATCTTTCTAACTACTTAACTAGCTTACGTTAACTATCTTTCTAACTACTTAACTAGCTTACGTTAACTATCTTTCTAACTACTTAACTAGCTTACGTTAACTATCTTTCAAACTACTTAACTAGCTTACGTTAACTATCTTTCTAACTACTTAACTAGCTTACGTTAACTATCTTTCTGACTACTTAACTAGCTTACGTTAACTATCTTTCTAACTACTTAACTAGCTTACGTTAACTATCTTTCTAACTACTTAACTAGCTTACGTTAACTATCTTTCTAACTACTTAACTAGCTTACGTTAACTATCTTTCTGACTACTTAACTAGCTTACGTTAACTATATTTCTAACTACTTAACTAGCTTACGTTAACTATCTTTCTAACTACTTAACTAGCTTACGTTAACTATCTTTCTAACTACTTAACTAGCTTACGTTAACTATCTTTCTAACTACTTCACTAGCTTACGTTAACTATCTTTCTAACTACTTAACTAGCTTACGTTAACTATCTTTCTAACTACTTAACTAGCTTACGTTAACTATCTTTCTAACTACTTAACTAGCTTACGTTAACTATCTTTCTAACTACTTCACTAGCTTACGTTAACTATCTTTCTAAACTACTTAACTAGCTTACGTTAACTATCTTTCTAACTACTTAACTAGCTTATGTTAAATATCTTTCTAACTACTTAACTAGCTTACGTTAAATATCTTTCTAACTACTTAACTAGCTTACGTTAAATATCTTTCTGACTACTTAACTAGCTTACGTTAAATATCTTTCAAACTACTTAACTAGCTTACGTTAAATATCTTTCTAACTACTTAACTAGCTTACGTTAAATATCTTTCTGACTACTTAACTAGCTTACGTTAACTATCTTTCTAACTACTTAACTAGCTTGCGTTAACTATCTTTCAAACTACTTAACTAGTTTACGTTAAATATCTTTCTAACTACTTAACTAGCTTGCATTAACTATCTTTCTAACTACTTAACTAGCTTACGTTAACTATCTTTCTAACTACTTAACTAGCTTACGTTAACTGTCTTTCTAACTACTTAACTAGCTTACGTTAACTATCTTTCAAACTACTTAACTAGCTTACGTTAAATATCTTTCAAACTACTTAACTAGCTTGCGTTAACTATCTTTCTAACTACTTAACTAGCTTACGTTAACTATCTTTCTAACTACTTAACTAGCTTACGTTAACTATCTTTCTAACTACTTAACTAGCTTGCGTTAACTATCTTTCTAACTACTTAACTAGCTTACGTTAACTATCTTTCTAACTACTTAACTAGCTTACGTTAACTATCTTTCTAACTACTTAACTAGCTTACGTTAACTATCTTTCTAACTACTTAACTAGCTTACGTTAACTATCTTTCAAACTACTTAACTAGCTTACGTTAACTATCTTTCTAACTACTTAACTAGCTTACGTTAACTATCTTTCTGACTACTTAACTAGCTTATGTTAACTATCTTTCTAACTACTTAACTAGCTTACGTTAACTATCTTTCTAACTACTTAACTAGCTTACGTTAACTATCTTTCTAACTACTTAACTAGCTTACGTTAACTATCTTTCTGACTACTTAACTAGCTTACGTTAACTATATTTCTAACTACTTAACTAGCTTACGTTAACTATCTTTCTAACTACTTAACTAGCTTACGTTAACTATCTTTCTAACTACTTAACTAGCTTACGTTAACTATCTTTCTAACTACTTCACTAGCTTACGTTAACTATCTTTCTAACTACTTAACTAGCTTACGTTAACTATCTTTCTAACTACTTAACTAGCTTACGTTAACTATCTTTCAAACTACTTAACTAGCTTACGTTAACTATCTTTCTAACTACTTCACTAGCTTACGTTAACTATCTTTCTAACTACTTAACTAGCTTACGTTAACTATCTTTCTAACTACTTAACTAGCTTATGTTAAATATCTTTCTAACTACTTAACTAGCTTACGTTAAATATCTTTCTAACTACTTAACTAGCTTACGTTAAATATCTTTCTGACTACTTAACTAGCTTACGTTAAATATCTTTCAAACTACTTAACTAGCTTACGTTAAATATCTTTCTAACTACTTAACTAGCTTACGTTAAATATCTTTCTGACTACTTAACTAGCTTACGTTAACTATCTTTCTAACTACTTAACTAGCTTGCGTTAACTATCTTTCAAACTACTTAACTAGTTTACGTTAAATATCTTTCTAACTACTTAACTAGCTTGCATTAACTATCTTTCAAACTACTTAACTAGCTTGCGTTAACTATCTTTCAAACTACTTAACTAGCTTACGTTAACTATCTTTCAAACTACTTAACTAGCTTACGTTAAATATCTTTCTGACTACTTAACTAGCTTACGTTAACTCTCTTTCTAACTACTTAACTAGCTTACGTTAACTATCTTTCTGACTACTTAACTAGCTTACGTTAACTATCTTTCTAACTACTTAACTAGCTTACGTTAACTATCTTTCTGACTACTTAACTAGCTTACGTTAAATATCTTTCAAACTACTTAACTAGCTTACGTTAAATATCTTTCTAACTACTTAACTAGCTTACGTTAAATATCTTTCTGACTACTTAACTAGCTTACGTTAACTATCTTTCTAACTACTTAACTAGCTTGCGTTAACTATCTTTCAAACTACTTAACTAGTTTACGTTAAATATCTTTCTAACTACTTAACTAGCTTGCATTAACTATCTTTCAAACTACTTAACTAGCTTGCGTTAACTATCTTTCAAACTACTTAACTAGCTTACGTTAACTATCTTTCAAACTACTTAACTAGCTTACGTTAAATATCTTTCTGACTACTTAACTAGCTTACGTTAACTCTCTTTCTAACTACTTAACTAGCTTACGTTAAATATCTTTCTGACTACTTAACTAGCTTACATTAACTATCTTTCTAACTACTTAACTAGCTTGCGTTAACTATCTTTCAAACTACTTAACTATCTTACGTTAAATATCTTTCTGACTACTTAACTAGCTTACGTTAACTATCTTTCTAACTACTTAACTAGCTTGCGTTAACTATCTTTCAAACTACTTAACTATCTTACGTTAAATATCTTTCTAACTACTTAACTAGCTTACGTTAAATATCTTTCTAACTACTTAACTAGCTTACGTTAAATATCTTTCAAACTACTTAACTAGCTTACGTTAAATATCTTTCAAACTACTTAACTAGCTTACGTTAAATATCTTTCTAACTACTTAACTATCTTACGTTAAATATCTTTCTGACTACTTAACTAGCTTACGTTAAATATCTTTCAAACTACTTAACTATCTTACGTTAAATATCTTTCTGACTACTTAACTAGCTTACGTTAAATATCTTTCAAACTACTTAACTATCTTACGTTAAATATCTTTCTAACTACTTAACTAGCTTACGTTAAATATCTTTCAAACTACTTAACTATCTTACGTTAAATATCTTTCTAACTACTTAACTAGCTTGCGTTAGCTCATATCTAGCTAGCTTTGGTGTGAATTGTGTGAATTATTATTTAACACCCCATGGAGAAACTTGCAGTGTGGTCATGTGTCTACCGCCCCGATAGGCTCGTTATTGATCGCGTCGGTTACCGTGGCGACACTGCCGTAGTTTTTCTCCGCCTCCGTTTCCATGGCGATGAGCATGTCGCTGTCCTCCCTCGCCTCGCCTCGATGCCTCATCCTCCTGCAGGAACAACCTTATCCATCATTAATAATATCTACTGGAGTCGTAATTTGTTGTTATTATAAAACGATAAAAAAAATCTAAGATTAAATCAGATATTCTTTTTTTTAAGCTTTACATTCCCTGAGATTAATGTGGTTTATTGATGAGTAAATAACTTTCCAATATTAAATCATTAATTTATAATAAAAAGAGATTAATTTGCTTAAATTACGAGAAAAAAACTCAGATATTTTCTGATCTTAAATCAGACATTTACTTGAAAAAACACAGATATTTCTTTGAGATTTAGCTCATATATGTATAAGAAATACACGTGGATATTAAATAATATCCCCGAGATTAAATAATGTATTCATAAGAAATACATGATATTAAGGGGTTAATTGATGAGTAAATAACTTGACTGTTCCCAGATTACAATCGTACATTTACGAGAAAATAATTTGGATAATATCTGAGATAAAATGTCAAATATTTTCGGTTATTAAATCTGACATTCACGAATAAAAACGTTGATATTCTACGAGATTAAAGTGGATATTTCCCAAGATTAAATTATTTATTGATAAGCAAAAAGTAGTTTATTCCCACGGATTAATGTGCTTAAATTCCGAGAAACAACTCAGGTATTTTCTGAGATATAAAAAAATGAAGTCGTAAATGTGCGAGATAAATCATTGAATATTTTCAATCGTACATTAACGGGAACGTAACTGTATATTTCCTGAGATAAAACTCATGGAAAATAAAAAAACAGAGATTTAATCAGACATTTACAAGAAAAAAGGTAGATATTCTTAAAGTGGAAAATGTATGAGGACAACTTGACTGTTCTCAGATTACCGTCATAAAGGTATTATAATGAATCTCAAAGAATATCTTCTCGTTCTTCTGTACTTTTCTTTCTTGTGAATATACAACTTTAATCTCAGAGAATATTCACGTTTTTTGTGGTGCTTTTCTTTCTGCCGTAACATTTTCTTACGGCGTGTTATTAGTACTTCTTCTACTGCAGGAACATTTGACCAAAACAGAGTAATGAAGTAACGTTGAACACTAACTGAGTATTTGACTTTTACTGCAGGAACATTTGAGAATGTTCGCACTCTGTAAGAGTATTAGACAAGAGCAGCGTAGACACGTTTTAATACATAAACTAAAGAATGTAGAAACTTCCTCCTGCAGAAGGACTTACCTGCAGCCCGGAGAAACTACTGTGTGTGTGTGTGTGTGTGTGTGTGTGTGTGTGTGTAATCCCCGCCCCCATGTAAGCCACGCCCCCTGCATCCGTGTCTCCACCAAAAACAAACACTCACCTGCAATCTTTTTTTTTATTTAACTAAAAAAAATCATAATTAAACCCAAAAGTTACTTTAGTGAATATTATTTAAAATACTCTGTGGTATTATTAAAGTAATCCTAATATTGGTAATAAAAAATGTATATAATCGATTGCATTTACTTTATGTTTACATGCTGTACTATAATTATACATTACATGACGTGTCACATGCGACTCACTGTGAAGCGTCTCAGGGACACAACGACATGCTGACTGCAGTGGGGTTTGAACCTGAACCCTGATACGCACTAGGCCACTGCGCCACAGCCTCCCGGCATACATCCAGTGTATTTTATTTATAATGTGTATTCTATGGATACTATGGAATGTATATTCTGTGTATTTTAACTCGTGTGTGATGCTTTGTTAACTGTAATAATACATAATAAAGTGCACTTTTTCCAATAAAACAATCTGTGTACTTCAATCTGCGAGGAGATGAAACATCCAACACAATACAATGACTGATATTTCATTAGTTATATCATGCTTTATATTATAAAAGACATATATATAAAAACACAAGATTGAACGTTCTTTCATTTTGAAGGTATGTGTATGGCACGTGTGTATTATGGGATGTTTAATCATGAGAGAGACCTTTGGGTTTTATTTTGTTTATTAGGTTTGTAACGCAGCGCTCTGATTGGACGAGAGCACACAGGGATTCAACAAGCTGAAGTTTATCCTACTGTACACACACACACATACGTGCGCACACACACACACACACACACACACACACACACACACACACACACACACACACACACACACACGTCTTTGGCAGGAAGCAGCTTCTTCCTCTGCTGAACAAACATTGACACAAGGAGCTGCACGGGACAGTGATGTCATCAAGAGGCGGCGCATAGACACACACGCGCGCACACACAGTGTTTAACCAGCTCCTCCTGCTGTCACTGCACTGAACAGCAGCAACACTAGTGGATTGTGGGTAATGTAGTTGAGGTAACATGTCTCTGAACTAACTGATGATAATCTGTAGCGCTTTAATCTTCACTAAATATTATATTTAAATACTTTAATTATTTCATAAACTGTAACTCTCGCGTCGTGTGATGTTCAGGGTTCTTTTCTAAAAGTTAAACATTTGAGAGTTTAGGGAAAACAATTCAAATAAAAACAAAAGCTAATACTTTTTTACAAAACGCACGTTTTAGTTCCTGAACGCCACCTGTTTAAGTCCCTCAAAGCCCCATGTCAATGTTGGTTCCTGAACGCCCCGTGGTCCTTTTAGTCTCTGAACGCCCCGTGCTTCAATTACTCCCTGAACGGCCCATGTTTTAGAGAACGTGTACGTTTCTCGATGCCCCAGGCTCCTTGTAATCCCTGAACGCCTCACACTCCATCTATTTGTTTTATAGTTTTTAAGATTTTAAAGAGTTATTTATCATTTTAAGGCGTTTTTGTCGGTTCTATAATGAAGTCAGATTTTTTAAGGCGCTCGATAAATAAACTCTGATCGGTGGTTTCATGCTTTCTACCTTAAATCTGCTCAATGATTCAATTAAAGCTTTTTAAGAGGACAAAACACTTTCTTAATGTGCATTAAAATGCCGTATATTTTCAGGGACGTTTAAGGGGATAATAAATGGTCATATTTAGATGTCATATTAAGGATTAATTAATGGAATTAATCAAATCAAGGCATTATAATTAGAATGATAGGCAACATTACAAATTACGTTTTCAAATAATTCGATTTAAGGCGTTAAATTGAACAAATAAAATAAATATATTAAGGTCATTTTAATGGGATGTTAAGGGGAACATTCATTTATATGCAAAGTTTAAAAACATTTAAAGGGTATTAACAACTCTTTACTGTATATGGACCAAATATCATTAAAGCCATTCCTTAATTCAAACCTTAAAAATGCTTTTAATATTTTAATGATATTTGGTCAATTTTAGGGTGTTTTCCTCCTACATGTAATTAATCTAAAGCCAATGGGTTTTATATGAGATGATCTGCATGGATTTAAGAACATAATAACGGTAAAGAAATCCTTTAAAATGACCAAAAACCATGAAAGCCATTCATAAATCTATGCTATAAAATACTCTTAAAATAAAGGGGAGAGTTTTTATGGTATTTGGTCAAATTACGTTTTTTTTTTGTTCCTTAAAAGCCCAGAAAATCACAGGAATTACCCATTTAAACCCTTTCATATAATGGGGGAAGTTAATGGGTTGTCGTAGATCAGTTGATCTGCGTCGTTTAATTTCTTAAAATGTATTAGTTTATATACCTAAAAATAATCCACTTAAATCTTTAATACTATGTCACAGTATAATTATTTGATTTATCAACCTTTTAAATGTTTAACCTCCAAGAACTTTGCCCTAAAAGTCCCTTAATTGAATAATTAATCAGATGGTGATGTCACAGTTCAAATTAGTTTGAGGTCATCACAGTGATGTCATCAGAGAGAGCGCTTTCTCACAACACACAAGAACACACACACACACACACACACACACACACACACACACACACACACACACACACACACACACACACACACACACACACACACACACACACACACACACACACACACACACACACACACACACACACACACACACACACACACACACACACACACACACACACACACACACACACACACACACACACACACACACACACACACACACACACACCAAAGCCCATTAATAATAATAACAATAATAATAATTAATGACGGTGATAAAGCAGAAATCAGCAACATCGTCCCATGTGACTTCCTCTTCATCACTAACGTCTTCATCGTCAGTCCTTCGTGTGAAGTCCGTTTCATTTCCAGACAGGAAGTCAGTCCGACCGTCTCTAATTAATAGATTTATATTAATGGGAGAAACTGAAGGATACACCCCCAACGCACACCTGAAAACCAACAGATAACCTCCACATAACCTCCACATAACCTCCACTAATTAAGACACTAGCCGTTTGTTAAAGAAGGGTATATTTTTAAGTTTCCTGACGAATTAAAACCTCCAGATAACTTCCAGCTAACCTAAAAAAAACAACCAAATAACTTCCAGATAACTTCCAGATAACCCCGATAACCTCCTCTATTTAAGACACTAGCCGTTTGTTAACGAAGGATATATTTTTACGTTTCTGGTCTAATTAAAACCTCCAGATAACCCAGAGATAACTTCCTCTAATTAAGACTCCTGCCATTTGTTAACGAGGATATATTTTTACTTTTCCAGACTAATCAACCCCTCTTAGCTCCGTCTACCAGACCTCACAGCGCCCCCCGGTGTTCATGGGCGTCCCTACGGGGCAGTTGAAATGGCGGCTGAAGTCTGGAGAGTTGGCGAGCGTGCCGATGACCCGGTATCGGGGGGGGCTGTGGGGGTCGGTCACTAAACCCTCGTGAGCGCTCTCCGGTGTCCGCACTGAACACCACACCTGAAAGAAGTGAAAAAACAAAACTTTAAATCGTCCATAAAATAACTTTTCTCGTTTAAAGTAAACAAAACATATGGAATTGTGTTGTAGATATAGTTAGTCTCTTTCACAACGGTAAGTGTTTGTCAGTATATTTGAAATGACTAGGTTAGCTACGTTAGCTAGCTAGCTTACAGCAGATCTGCAAAAATATCAGAAGGAGTCATGTGATCACATTGTAAAAATAATCCAATAAAACATTTGAGGGAAGTTAGTGAAACATCGTAATGTCATTAGGTAGATATCCGAACAGTTGCGTTGACGCTGAAAACATTCAGACCAATAAAGCAGCTTTGAGAACAGCTTTAGTGTCTTTAACATCTTATGAATTATCCCTCCGTTGTACATACATCAGCATATAACTTCAGGTTGCTTCACAAGAAACTGAAGTGGCCCCAGCATGTCGCCCTGTGGGACTCCGCTTCTCCGTAACTATCTGAGGTTGTTTTTGTTTGTCTCACCTGAGCAAAACCAACAAAGAAAAGCTGATCGTTGGTCAGGTTAACGGCAGGAAGTCTCTTCTCCTCTCCGTTCTTCTGAACCCACGACCGATAAGCCTGAGGGGAAAACATCGAGTTAGTCGTGATGATGTAAGAGAGGTAAAAAAACGCACTAAATGCAAAAATACTATGTAAAAGTCCTGCAACCAAAAAGTACTTTCATAAATGCACTTTATGACACTCGTATGGTTGTAGCGTTCATACTCACGTTGTACGCAGCCTTCAGTCCTCCGTTGTCGGCGATGTTTTCTCCGAGCGTCTGTTTTCCATTGACGTGTTCTCCGTTGACGGTGTAGCGGCTGTACTGATCCGTCATGCACTGGGTTCTCTCACGAAACGCCTCCACCGACGAGTTCTGCCACCACGGCCGCAAGTTCCCTTCTTTATCGTACTCGCGACCTGCAGAGGGAGGAAGGACGTCTTCATTAACAGGAAGTGAGCTCATTAACTCTGTCGTTAACACTGTGGGCTGCCAGGGGTATTGGTTTTACTCCGTCACCAGCTTTATCAACCAACTTACCAAAGACGCTTTTCAGAGCCAGTATCAGAATACCTTTATTTATCCCACAGAGGGGAATATGTGCATTTGTTACAGCAGGATAAGAGCCAATGACTGCTTAATATTAACTAATAAGCATGCATAAAACAAATAATTAAAAGATAATAAATAAAAAATTAGACAATTTTCAAAATACACATGTTTTTATTTTTAGCTTTTGAATGAACTGCTATTAAATTAAAACAGTTTTTAAGAAGATAAACTAACTATTTATATAACTTATATGTGATTACTTTATCCAAAAACTTGTATTTGAGACACAGGTCCACACTGTCTAACCATAAGGGGTTAAATAATAACTCATATTTATAGAGCCTGTGACAGCATCCCAACAACTGTTGTGCAATGAAATATTGGGCTACTAGTCATCTCGAACCGTCAGTTTAAAAAAGAAAAAGCGATACCGTTCCGTTAAATATCAATAATTTCGAACATCGCGGGAAATTCCTTCGACTCATTTTGAAGTTTTGGGGGAAGCCGGAAGTGACGTCAATGCGGGAACGCTTCACTGTGCGGCGAGAGAGCCAAACACGGACAAAGTGTGTTGTCATGCGTAGAAATTGTGAATTACTGAGTTTAGGCACGTTAATAACGTTGTAATGAAGTTGACTACAGTATATTCATATTTGTCAGTGCTTTCATGTCAATTCGGCGAACATAAACATAAATGATCGTGGTGAAGATGATGATTACATTAGGATTACAAATCGGTAGTGAGAGCTGCTGAATTTCCTCCCGTAGGATGTGATATAAAAACAAATCGATTATTTTTGTAGTTGTAAACTCAAGTGGATGAAACTACATTTATTAGTGCTTTCATGTCAATTCGGCGAACATATGATACATTAAATGATCGTGAGGATGATGATTAAAAATCGTTTGTTTGTGCCGGTCTGCATTTCCTGATGAGAAAACAAACCGATGCTTTTTGTAGTTGTAGTACACCAACATGGATTAAACGTGTGGTTTTTTACCACAATGTTGGGGAAATTAATGGATAGATGCACGGATTATTATTATTCCCACTCCGATCGGGACACTAGGTCCACCGTTTCCCCGCAGCGAGGCTCCGCCCGTTGACAGTTTACGCGGGCTGGGTGCAGTCGCGGACTGGCCATCGGGACGAATCCCGATGGGCCGGTACCGAAGTGGGCCGGTCGGATAAGTCACTAGCACATCCCCCATAGGCGGCGCGTGAGGCTCAGGTTTGGGAAGGCTAAATAACTTGTTTTACCTGACGCTGCCCGCCTCCTGCGTCTATAGAAAAGAGATCAACTCAGTGTGCGAAGTTTAAATCTCTCAAGTCATATTACAGGATAAAGGAAATACAGTTTAAACTGCCGTATGCAGAGAAGACGCCGACGTGTCGCACTTATCATTCATATTACATCATCAATCAGATCATCGATCATATAATATCATAATATATCATATATTTCCTTATCTGAGTCAGCTTCTCCAGCCGTATCTGGCCGTGCAACACTCACAGTGTCACATACTGTATGCAGAAGTATTATTTTAAGCAACACATTATGTTGACGAAACACTCGAGTCAAATGTAATTAAAGTCAGATCCACTCGTGTCTTAGACGTGAACGCGCTCTCAGCTGGAGAGAGAAACCCTGGCTTGATTTACCGAGTTGATAACCAGCGTCGTAGGACCGCTTAGCGAGATCTCGTTTGTTAGTTTGTTGTTGTTAGTTAGTTTGTTACTCAAACATATCCAGGGTCTGTTGAACTGGCTTCGTAGTACAGGGCACAGGTGGCTGGCAGCGCTAATGTCAAAGACACAGACATTGCATTATATTTGTATTTTACCAGGATGCAGTGACACAAATATTTACATATTTACATTTACTATCTACAGCACCCGCCGCCCCTGACATCCCCCACTCCCCCCGTTGACAATTTACTAGCGGTACCGAAGTGGGCCGGTCGAGAGTCCCGGGATGATTTTTAGTCCCATTCCACCACTGGCTACATGACCGTATGATCGCCCATATTGACGCACCTAATTCCTAAACTTCTAACAGATACAACATAAAGCGATCCTTCAGCCTCATATGAGCTCTCAGACACGTTCAACATTAAACTGTCCTCGCTGTCTGAGCTTGCTGCTGTGTGCGCCATCGTGCGTTTACATGCAGATGCTGGGATCCTGAACGGTGCAGCTGGAGCGCTGTGCCCGCAATGACGTCACACATCATTTGGCGGGACTTGAAGAATCCCTGAGAAGATCCAGAAAATGGTCAACATTGAACGGCAGATTAATAGTTATCAAAGTACAAATATCCAAAATCAGTTCAGTAACGGTTTTCAAGGGGACAATATTTACTCAAATTGATGGGTTTGGATGATGGGGGAAACTCGTGTCACAGGCTCTTTAAATTAAAACAATGTTTTTATAATGACTCTCACTGCTGAACGTAGGCCCTTTAATATGTCATTGTTAGGCCGTAAAAAACATGGATGTTTAATAAGAACTGGATCCAGCGTTGGAGGCCTCGTTCTTTCGAGAGCTGCTCATTGGCGCACGAGGACAAAATGGTCAGACATTCGAGAGCAAAACGTCACAGATTACCCAGCATGCCTTGCTGTCAGAGCAGAAGAACCAGTATGTAGCTCAAAGAATGCATTTGAGTTTCCCTTTAAGCCCCGCCTCCTGTCATTAAGCCCCGCCCCGATCTCCCACTCTCGGCTCAGTAGAATGAATGGAGATGGATGGAGCTTTTAGCGCATTTTTCAACTTTAAGGACCTAATCCTTCTAATAAGGGCTATAAAAAGTATCCTCTGATTTACAGATGTCTCTTTCCCAATGTTAGTCAATGGGAAAAAGTATTTCTGGGCCCAGTGACGTCACAGACTGATACGGAAGTTGTAGTACCGCCGTTTGGCCACTGCGAATATTTTCCTCAGAGTCTAGAGCACTTCCTCTGGGTTTGGTACACACAGCAGGAAGTGACCAGGTGACAGGAATTGAACTCACCCTGATCATCGAAGGCGTGCGTGAGCTCGTGACCCATCACCACCCCGATCCCCCCGAAGTTCAACGCCCTGAAAACACACACATTACACAACGCCTCTTTAGCATATTTAAACACAACACCTCATAAAACCCGTTTAATATTGGACCCTGCAGTGTGTAAAGCTGCTCTACAGGTGAGTTAGATAGGTGAGAGAGACAGGTGAGACAAGTGAGTGAGACAGATGAGAGAGACAGGTGAGAGAGACAGGTGAGACAAGTGAGTGAGACAGATGAGAGAGACAGGTGAGAGAGACAGGTGAGACAAGTGAGTGAGACAGGTGAGACAGGTAAGAGAGACAGGTGAGAGAGACAGGTGAGAGAGACAGGTGAGACAAGTGAGTGAGACAGGTGAGACAGGTAAGAGAGACAGGTGAGAGAGACAGGTGAGAGAGACAGGTGAGACAAGTGAGTGAGACAGGTGAGAGAGACAGGTGAGAGAGACAGGTGAGACAAGTGAGTGAGACAGGTGAGAGAGACAGGTGAGAGAGACAGGTGAGACAGGTGAGAGAGACAGGTGAGACAAGTGAGTGAGACAGGTGAGAGAGACAGGTGAGAGAGACAGGTGAGACAGGTGAGAGAGACAGGTGATATATGTTATCATAGAGGATGAGGAACAGACTTGGGGTGGTCGTGGGCGTAGAAAGGAGCCTGCAGGATCCCGGCGGGGAAGACGATGCCGTTCTTAGTGGGCATGTAGTAGGCATTTACTGTGGGAGGGGTCATACTCCACCTGAGGGAGGGGAGGAGGGAGGAGAGGAGGCAAGGAGACAAGGAGAGGAGATGAGGAGATAATTGATGTCCTACCAGTGCGACAACAATCCCAGAAGTCATATTTCGGTGGAATCTGATTTATTCTGTTATATTTATTATTTTATTTAGTACTTTTTAAAAGGAGGTTAAGTGTGTGTGTGTGTGTCTGTGTGTCTGAGTGTGTGTGTGTCTGAGTGTGTCTGTCTGAGTGTGTGTGTGTGTGTGTGTGTCTGAGTGTGTGTGTGTCTGAGTGTGTGTGTCTGAGTGTGTCTGTCTGAGTGTGTGTGTGTCTAAGTGTGTGTGTGTGTGTGTGTGTGTGTGTGTGTGTGTGTGTGTGTGTGTGTGTATTACTGGTCTTTGTTGGGAGTCTTCCTCAGCTGGTCGGCCATCACTCGGGAGGAAAAGTTGTAGAAGTTGAGCATGTTCATGAAGAAGCTGTCGTACGACACCTCGTACTGAAACACAAGATAACGGGTTTATCACCACGACTTAGGAAGTGTATAAAACAAACAATATGTAAAACATTTCAAATATAATAAGACAGCGACACACTCACCCCGTCGTACACGTCGTCCAGCTCTTTGGGGTCCAGGATGAATTCTGGGAAACCGATCATATCGTAGATGGCGTCGGCCTAACGAGACAAACAGGAACCAATCAGCAGAGACACCTGGGAACACCTGGGCTGATTTAACCCCCTGATGATCTACAGGTGGTGCGTTCAAACCCTACTCCACACAGATCATGTGACCAGTTTTACTCGGCTACTTTTATCTGAAAGCTCTGAGAACTATAGCTTCAACTCAGGGAGGAGTCCTGGTGAAATATTATGAAATACCAGTCAATTACTTGAGTGTGTGTGTGTTTGTGTGTGTGTGTTTGTGTGTGTGTGCTTACCTTGTCTTTGGCAGCCCGTTTGGTGTGTGGGTCCATCCAGCCCAGGCGGTCCAGAGCGCCTTTAAACGCCGAGCGGATCTCATTAATCATCTCCTCGGCCTGAGAGAGAAACACAAGATGAGCCTCACTCTCAACGTTCTATCAACGTTCTATCAACGTTCTTCACTCTCAGCGTTCTATCAACGTTCTTCACTCTCAGCGTTCTATCAACGTTCTTCACTCTCAGCGTTCTATCAACGTTCTTCACTCTCAGCGTTCTATCAACGTTCTTCACTATCAACGTTCTTCACTCAGCGTTCTATCAACGTTCTTCACTCTCAGCGTTCTATCAACGTTCTATCAACGTTCTTCACTATCAGCGTTCTATCAACGTTCTTCACTCTCAGCGTTCTATCAACGTTCTTCACTATCAGCGTTCTATCAACGTTCTATCAACGTTCTTCACTATCAGCGTTCTATCAACGTTCTATCAACGTTCTTCACTCAGCGTTCTATCAACGTTCTTCACTCTCAGCGTTCTATCAACGTTCTATCAACGTTCTTCACTATCAGCGTTCTATCAACGTTCTATCAACGTTCTTCACTATCAGCGTTCTATCAACGTTCTTCACTCTCAGCGTTCTATCAACGTTCTATCAACGTTCTTCACTATCAGCGTTCTATCAACGTTCTTCACTCTAAGCGTTCTATCAACGTTCTATCAACGTTCTTCACTATCAGCGTTTTATCAACGTTCTATCAACGTTCTTCACTCTCAGCGTTCTATCAACGTTCTTCACTCTCAGCATTCTATCAACGTTCTTCACTATCAGCGTTCTATCAACGTTCTTCACTCTCAGCGTTCTATCAACGTTCTATCAACGTTCTTCACTCTCAGCGTTCTATCAACGTTCTATCAACGTTCTTCACTATCAGCGTTCTATCAACGTTCTATCAACGTTCTTCACTCTCAACGTTCTATCAACGTTCTATCAACGTTCTTCACTCTCAGCGTTCTATCAGCGTTCTATCAACGTTCTATCAACGTTCTTTACTCTCAGCGTTCTATCAACGTTCTATCAACGTTCTTCACTCTCAGCGTTCTTCACTCTCAGCGTTCTATCAGCGTTCTATCAACGTTCTATCAACGTTCTTCACTCTCAGCGTTCTATCAACGTGCTATCAACGTTCTTCACTCTCAGCGTTCTTCACTCTCAGCGTTCTATCAACGTTCTTCTCTATCAACGTTCTTCTCCACCAAAGTATTTCCTTCAGGGGGAACTCACGATGTCTTTGCTGTGTTTGTCGAAGGTCTCCTTCACGAACAGCGATCCCAGAGCGAAGCCCAGCGTGTCGTCAGTGTTCCCGATGCAGGTCTGCCAGCGGGGCGTGCACGACTGAAACCAAGAGACAGCCAGGAGAACCAGTTACAACGAGAGACAGCAACAGTAGAAGTACCTTCTTGGTGCCGTACAGGCTCTCCTGCAGTACTGCAGTATTAATAGTTGTTGGGAAAATACTGAATGTTCTTTCTATATCAGAGTAGCACGTGACAACAGAGGCCCTACGTAGCTGTGTACGTAGCCGGATGTCTGACTACATGGATGACGCTCATGAGACACTGTGTTGAAGTTATGATAGCTATGTTCCTAAGGTTGGCATGATGACACCGCCCCTAGAGAGAGAGGCATATGACTGTCATGTTTATCGCTTACGCAGGCCTTAGCTGATCTGAACTAACGTCACTGCTCTGAACTAACGTCACTGCTCTGAACTAACGTCACTGCTCTGAACTAACGTCACTGCTCTGAACTAACGTCACTGATCTGAACTAACGTCACTGCTCTGAACTAACGTCACTGCTCTGAACTAACGTCACTGCTCTGAACTAACGTCACTGCTCTGAACTAACGTCACTGCTCTGAACTAACGTCACTGCTCTGAACTAACGTCACTGATCTGAACTAACGTCACTGATCTGAACTAACGTCACTGATCTGAACTAACGTCACTGATCTGAACTAACGTCACTGCTCTGAACTAACGTCACTGATCTGAACTAACGTCACTGCTCTGAACTAACGTCACTGCTCTGAACTAACGTCACTGCTCTGAACTAACGTCACTGCTCTGAACTAACGTCACTGCTCTGAACTAACGTCACTGCTCTGAACCGGTATTCCTCCATCTTGTTGACTGTAACTCCCTCTCGTGTATATCAGCATGTCAAGGACTCTACTCTGGGAACTATGTGTCCCACGCAGCCCTGAGTGTGAGGACTACTAATAAATACATCCTGATATTGAAGGCCAAGCCGGGGACGAGTACTGCAGTATTAACATTACATTACATCACATTGCATTTAGCTGACGCTTTTGTCCAAAGCGACTTACAATAAGTACATTCGACCAGGAAGACACAACCTTGAAGAAAACAGAATCATATAAGTATATCAGGTTTCATAGAGCCAAATATTTCAAGTGCTACTCAACTGGCTTTAGGTAATCCAGTCCTTTATTAGTATAAAAGTGCTTCGTTAATCGTTCTAACGCTCGAAGTGGAGTCGAAAGAGTAGTTACTGTATAAGTACCTTCTTGGTGCAGTATTAGTACCTTCTTGGTTGCAGTATTAGTACCTTATTGGTGCAGTATAAGTACCTTCTTGGTGCAGTATTAGTACCTTCTTGGTTGCAGTATAAGTACCTTCTTGGTTGCAGTATTAGTACCTTATTGGTGCAGTATAAGTACCTTCTTGGTGCAGTATTAGTACCTTCTTGGTTGCAGTATTAGTACCTTATTGGTGCAGTATTAGTACCTTCTTGGTGCAGTATTAGTACCTTCTTGGTGCAGTATTAGTACCTTCTTGGTGCAGTATTAGTACCTTCTTGGTGCAGTATTAGTACCTTCTTGGTGCAGTATTAGTCCCTTCTTGGTGCAGTATTAGTACCTTCTTGGTGCAGTATTAGTACCTTTTTGGTGCAGTATAAGTACCTTCTTGGTGCAGTATAAGTACATTCTTGGTGCAGTATAAGTACCTTCTTGGTGCAGTATTAGTACCTTCTTGGTGCAGTATAAGTACCTTCTTGGTGCAGTATTAGTACCTTCTTGGTGCAGTATAAGTACCTTCTTGGTGCAGTATAAGTACCTTCTTGGTTGCAGTATTAGTACCTTCTTGGTGCAGTATAAGTAACTTCTTGGTGCAGTATTAGTACCTTCTTGGTGCAGTATAAGTACCTTCTTGGTGCAGTATTAGTACCTTATTGGTGCAGTATAAGTACCTTCTTGGTGCCGTATAAGTACCTTCTTGGTGCAGTATAAGTACCTTCTTGGTGCAGTATTAGTACCTTCTTGGTGCAGTATAAGTACCTTCTTGGTGCAACATAAGTACCTTCTTGGTGCAGTATTATTACCTTATTGGTGCAGTATAAGTACCTTCTTGGTGCAGTATAAGTACCTTCTTGGTGCCGTATAAGTACCTTCTTGGTGCAGTATAAGTACCTTCTTGGTGCAGTATTAGTACCTTATTGGTGCAGTATTAGTACCTTCTTGGTGCAGTATAAGTACCTTCTTGGTGCAGTATTAGTACCTTATTGGTGCAGTATAAGTACCTTCTTGGTGCAGTATTAGTACCTTCTTGGTGCAGTATTAGTACCTTCTTGGTGGCAGTATTAGTACCATTCTTGGTGCAGTATAAGTACCTTCTTGGTGCAGTATTAGTACCATTCTTGGGTGCGTATAAGTACCCTTCTTGGTGCCGTAGTACCTTCTTGGTGCAGTATAAGTACCTTCTTGGTGCAGTATTAGTACCTTATTGGTGGCAGTATTAGTACCTTCTTGGTGCAGTATAGTAACCTTCTTGGTGCATAGTACTTAGTACCTTATTGGTGCAGTATAGTACCTTCTTGGTGCAAAGTATTAGTACCTTCTTGGTGCAGTATAGTACCTCTTGGTGCCAGTATTAGTACCGTTACCTTCTGGTGCAGTATAAGTACCTTCTTGGTGCGTATTAGTACCTTCTTGGTGCAGTATAAGTACTCTTGGTGCCGTACGTACCTTCTGGTGCGTATTAGTACCTTCTTGGTGCAGTATAAGTACCTTCTTGGGCAGGTATAAGTACTTCTTGGTGCAGTATTAGTACCTTCTTGGTGCAGTATAAGTACCTTCTTGGTGCAGTATAAGTACCTTCTTGGTGCAGTATTAGTACCTTCTTGGTGCAGTATAAGTACCTTCTTGGTGCCGTATAAGTACCTTCTTGGTGCAGTATTAGTACCTTCTTCGTGCAGTATTAGTACCTTATTGGTGCAGTATTAGTACCTTCTTGGTTGCAGTATTAGTACCTTCTTGGTGCAGTATTAGTACCTTCTTGGTGCAGTATTAGTACCTTCTTGGTGCAGTATAGTACTAGCCATTCTTGTGGTGCAGTATAAGTACCTTCTTGTGGCAGTATAAGTACCTTCTTGGTGCAGTATAGAGTACCTTCTTGGTGCAGTATAGTACCTTCTTGGTGCAGTATTAGTACCTTCTTGGTGCAGTATTAGTACCTTCTTGGTGCAGTATTAGTACCTTCTTGGTGCAGTATAAGTACCTTCTTGGTGCAGTATTAGTACCTTCTTGGTGCAGTATTAGTACCTTCTTGGTGCAGTATAAGTACCTTCTTGGTGCAGTATTAGTACCTTCTTGGTGCAGTATAAGTACCTTCTTGGTGCCGTATAAGTACCTTCTTGGTGCAGTATAAGTACCTTCTTGGTGCAGTATAAGTACCTTCTTGGTGCAGTTCTTGGTGCAGTATAAGTACCTTCTTGGTGCAGTATAAGTACCTTCTTGGTGCAGTATTAGTACCTTATTGGTGCAGTATTAGTACCTTATTGGTGCAGTTCTTGGTGCAGTATAAGTACCTTCTTGGTGCAGTATAAGTACCTTCTTGGTGCAGTATAAGTACCTTATTGGTGCAGTATTAGTACCTTATTGGTGCAGTATAAGTACCTTCTTGGTGCAGTATAAGTACCTTCTTGGTGCAGTTCTTGGTGCAGTATAAGTACCTTCTTGGTGCAGTATTAGTACCTTCTTGGTGCAGTATTAGTACCTTCTTGGTGCAGTATAAGTACCTTCTTGGTGCAGTATAAGTACCTTCTTGGTGCCGTATTAGTACCTTCTTGGTGCAGTATAAGTACCTTCTTGGTGCAGTATAAGTACCTTCTTGGTGCCGTACAGGCTCTCCAGCAGCTTGTCCTGAGCGTTCTCGAAGCGCTGATCCAGGCTGGCGACGCTCTTCTGAGTCAGCGTCCACATCATGTAGTTGTTCAGCAGGCTGAGAGGAGCAACACAGAGAGGATCAGTATTTTAGCACTTCCTGTTTCCTGTTCTGGGACTCAGAGGGAAGCGTCTGCCGTTTTCCATCCCTGTTCATGTTTAACCACGCCCACTTCCTCACGACGAGAGCATCACCGCGGCGCCTCATCACTAAATGTGAATCTGCAGCTACAGTCTCTGCATAGCGTCTTTAGAGCAAATGTTAGATCATCTGTAAATATTCATTCACCATGGATTTAAGAATACTTCAGTGACGTGGCACGTCCTCCTTATTCTTTTTATTTTTATTATTGTTATGTTTTAATTAAAACATTTGAATACAAAAAATGTAAAAATGTATATTTTTAATATTTTTCTTATTATTTTACACTTATTTATACATATTTAGTGTTATTTTCAATTATTTAAATCGTTACATGTTCTTTTACGTTGTCTTCATACTTCCATCACGCAGTGTTGCAGAGCTCGGTGAACTCGTGGTTAACATAAGTGGGCGTGGTTAACAGAAGTGGGCGTGGTTACATGTGAACAGGCGCGTCTCACTGACCTGCGCTCGGTGCGGTTGATGAGCTCGGACACCTGCTGCAGGTACTCCTGCGCGTACAGAACCACGTGCTCGGTGTCGTTCAGATCCAGAGGAGAGAGCGAGGCAGACAGGAAGTCCAGCCACTCCACAGCCGGGGCCAGCAGCTGCACAACACCAACGAAGAATTACAAGAAGAAGAGACATCACATACAGGCGAACCAGAAAACAGTGGTGCAGGAAAGAGGTCGATGGGTTCTGGAGGTGGTTTTGGAAAATATATATATGAATGTGAGTGTGGAGTGGTACTGGAGAGGAGCCGGACCCCGAACTGCTCACTGGCTGCCTCTTCGCTCTGACCTCTCAATGTGCATGTGTGCATATACAACTGTGTGTGTATCTGTATCGCTACAACAAAAAGCAGAGCTGGGAAGTAGTGGAGTACGAATACTTCATTACTGTACTTAAGTACATGTTTCTAGTATCAGTACTTTACTCCACTACTTATTTTTCTGACCACTTTTTACTTTTACTTCTTACATGTTCAACACAAATACCTGTACTTTCTACTTCTTACATGTTGAACACAAATACCTGTACTTTCTACTTCTTACATGTTGAACCCAAATACCTGTACTTTCTACTTCTTACATGTTGAACTCAAATACCTGTACTTTCTACTTCTCACATGTTGAACTCAAATACCTGTACTTTCTACTTCTACATGTTGAACACAAATACCTGTACTTTCTACTTCTTACATGTTGAACACAAATACCTGTACTTTCTACTTCTTACATGTTGAACTCAAATACCTGTACTTTCTACTTCTTACATGTTGAACTCAAATACCTGTACTTTCTACTTCTTACATGTTGAACTCAAATACCTGTACTTTCTACTTCTTACATGTTGAACTCAAATACCTGTACTTTCTACTTCTTACATGGTTGAACACAAATACCTGTACTTTCTGACTTTACATGTTGAACACAAATACCTGTTACTTTCTACTTCTTACATGTTGAACTCAAATACCTGTACTTTCTACTTCTCACATGTTGAACACAAATACCTGTACTTTCTACTTCTTACATGTTAACTCAAATACCTGTACTTTCTACTTCTTACATGTTGAACTCAAATACCTGTACTTTCTACTTCTTACATGTTGAACTCAAATACCTGTACTTTCTACTTCTTACATGTTGAACTCAAATACCTGTACTTTCTACTTCTTACATGTTGAACTCAAATACCCTGTACTTTCTACTTCTTACATGTTGAACACAAATACCTGTAGCTTTCTACTTCTTACATGTTGAACACAAATACCTGTACTTTTCTACTTCTTACATGTTGAACACAAATACCTGTACTTCTACTTCTTACATGTGAACACAAATACCTGTACTTTCTACTTCTTACATGTTGAACACAAATACCTGTACTTTCTACTTCTTACATGTGAACTCAAATACCTGTACTTTCTACTTCTTACATGTTGAACTCAAATACCTGTACTTTCTACTTCTTACATGTTGAACTCAAAATACCTGTACTTTCTACTTCTTACATGTTGAACTCAAATACCTGTACTTTCTACTTCTTACATGTTGAACTCAAATACCTGTACTTTCTACTTCTTACATGTTGAACACAAATACCTGTACTTTCTACTTCTCACATGTTGAACTCAAATACCTGTACTTTCTACTTCTTACATGTTGAACACAAATACCTGTACTTTTTACTTCTTACATGTTGAACACAATACCTGTACTTTCTACTTCTTACATGTTGAACACAAATACCTGTACTTTCTACTTCTTACATGTTGAACTCAAATACCTGTACTTTCTACTTCTTACATGTTGAACACAAATACCTGTACTTTCTACTTCTTACATGTTGAACACAAATACCTGTACTTTCTACTTCTTACATGTTGAACTCAAATACCTGTACTTTCTACTTCTTACATGTTGAACTCAAATACCTGTACTTTCTACTTCTCACATGTTGAACTCAAATACCTGTACTTTCTACTTCTTACATGTTGAACTCAAATACTTGTACTTTCTACTTCTCTCATTTTCCAAACAGCTGGTTCCTTTAGTCTGAATGTGTGTTTGATGCGTGATCATTATTCTTTAGAGTCATTGCGTGCCTATCGATTTGAACACGATCCGTGTATCCATCATTTCCTGGTCTTCTCTAAAGAAGAGGGACCAATGGAAACGTTGGAGCTCAGGTCAGAAGAATCTCATTGCCATTTCTAAACTGTAGCTTGTGTGCATATGACAATAAAACCTTTGAATTTTAAAATAAGGTTGTAACAGTGTAAACACATGGGAATACACATGAAAGCAAAACAAAGCAATAGTATCAGTGACATCAAATCAAAATGTAGGGTAAATTAGAACTACAATTACACAAAATAATTTTAAAAAGCTGCTAAATGACTCCATTTAGATGCAAGACGGAACAAACTGACCCAAAGGAGCGAATCAACTTAAAAAAGACCACAAACTAAAATTACAAAAGAAATGATAAACATTGGATGCAAAATACTCCCATTAAAGACAGATTGTATTTACTATAGAGGCCAGTAGAGGGCGCTCTGCTCCACGTTCATCAACAGATATAAAGGAGCTCAAATACTGCAGGAAGTCTCCCTGCTGCAGACCTCAGGATTCAAAGGCTTCTTTTCAGCTATAATAATCCTACTGACGACTAAAGACTGCAGACATACTGAAGACAGACTGAAGACATACTGAAGACAGACTGAAGACAGACTGAAGACAGACTGAAGACATACTGAAGACAGACTGAAGACATACTGAAGACAGACTGAAGACATACTGAAGACAGACTGAAGACATACTGAAGACAGACTGAAGACAGACTGAAGACAGACTGAAGACATACTGAAGACAGACTGAAGACAGACTGAAGACATACTGAAGACAGACTGAAGACAGACTGAAGACATACTGAAGACAGACTGAAGACAGACTGAAGACAGACTGAAGACAGACTGAAGACAGACTGAAGACAGACTGAAGACAGACTGAAGACAGACTGAAGACATACTGAAGACATACTGAAGACAGACTGAAGACATACTGAAGACAGACTGAAGACAGACTGAAGACATACTGAAGACAGACTGAAGACACTGAAGACATACTGAAGACAGACTGAAGACAGACTGAAGACAGACTGAAGACAGACTGAAGACAGACTGAAGACAGACTGAAGACATACTGAAGACAGACTGAAGACATACTGAAGACAGACTGAAGACAGACTGAAGACAGACTGAAGACAGACTGAAGACAGACTGAAGACAGACTGAAGACATACTGAAGACAGACTGAAGACATACTGAAGACAGACTGAAGACATACTGAAGACAGACTGAAGACATACTGAAGACAGACTGAAGACATACTGAAGACAGACTGAGACTACTGAAGACAGACTGAAGACAGACTGAAGACATACTGAAGACAGACTGAAGACATACTGAAGACCTACTGAAGACAGACTGAAGACATACTGAAGACATACTGAAGACAGACTGAAGACATACTGAAGACATACTGAAGACAGACTGAAGACATACTGAAGACAGACTGAAGACATACTGAAGACAGACTGAAGACAGACTGAAGACAGACTGAAGACAGACTGAAGACATACTGAAGACAGACTGAAGACATACTGAAGACAGACTGAAGACATACTGAAGACAGACTGAAGACAGACTGAAGACAGACTGAAGACAGACTGAAGACATACTGAAGACAGACTGAAGACATACTGAAGACAGACTGAAGACATACTGAAGAAAGACTGAAGACAGACTGAAGACCTACTGAAGACCTACTGAAGACAGACTGAAGACCTACTGAAGACATACTGAAGACATACTGAAGACAGACTGAAGACAGACTGAAGACATACTGAAGACAGACTGAAGACATACTGAAGACAGACTGAAGACAGACTGAAGACAGACTGAAGACATACTGAAGACAGACTGAAGACATACTGAAGACAGACTGAAGACAGACTGAAGACAGACTGAAGACATACTGAAGACAGACTGAAGACATACTGAAGACATACTGAAGACAGACTGAAGACAGACTGAAGACAGACTGAAGACATACTGAAGACAGACTGAAGACAGACTGAAGACAGACTGAAGACATACTGAAGACAGACTGAAGACATACTGAAGACAGACTGAAGACATACTGAAGACAGACTGAAGACAGACTGAAGACCTACTGAAGACCTACTGAAGACAGACTGAAGACCTACTGAAGACAGACTGAAGACATACTGAAGACAGACTGAAGACATACTGAAGACAGACTGAAGACAGACTGAAGACATACTGAAGACATACTGAAGACAGACTGAAGACATACTGAAGACAGACTGAAGACATACTGAAGACAGACTGAAGACATACTGAAGACTTACTGAAGACATACTGAAGACCTACTGAAGACATACTGAAGACAAACTGAAGACAGAAGACCTACTGAAGACAGACTGAAGACCTACTGAAGACCTACTGAAGACCTACTGAAGACATACTGAAGACAGACTGAAGACCTACTGAAGACATACTGAAGACATACTGAAGACCTACTGAAGACATACTGAAGACAGACTGAAGACCTACTGAAGACATACTGAAGACCTACTGAAGACCTACTGAAGACATACTGAAGACAGACTGAAGACAGACTGAAGACCTACTGAAGACCTACTGAAGACATACTGAAGACATACTGAAGACAGACTGAAGACAGACTGAAGACATACTGAAGACAGACTGAAGACCTACTGAAGACATACTGAAGACCTACTGAAGACCTACTGAAGACAGACTGAAGACAGACTGAAGACAGACTGAAGACCTACTGAAGACATACTGAAGACCTACTGAAGACCTACTGAAGACATACTGAAGACAGACTGAAGACAGACTGAAGACCTACTGAAGACATACTGAAGACCTACTGAAGACATACTGAAGACAGACTGAAGACCTACTGAAGACATACTGAAGACATACTGAAGACCTACTGAAGACCTACTGAAGACATACTGAAGACAGACTGAAGACAGACTGAAGACATACTGAAGACCTACTGAAGACATACTGAAGACATACTGAAGACATACTGAAGACCTACTGAAGACATACTGAAGACATACTGAAGACCTACTGAAGACATACTGAAGACATACTGAAGACCTACTGAAGACATACTGAAGACATACTGAAGACCTACTGAAGACATACTGAAGACATACTGAAGACATACTGAAGACATACTGAAGACATACTGAAGACATACTGAAGACCTACTGAAGACCTACTGAAGACATACTGAAGACCTACTGAAGAAATTAAGGAAATAAATGACATGTCTGAGGTTTTTAGTTTCCCATGTGTTGTTAGGAACTGGATTACGTTTTGTTTTAGAGATAACAAATATATAATGAAAATAATGTATTGGATGAACACATAAGCCCCTCCTCCCTCACTGACCTGCTGCATCAGCAGGCCCCCTCTTCCCTCACTGACCTGCTGCATCACCAGGCCCCCTCCTCCCTCACCGACCTGCTGCATCACCAGACCCCCTCCTCCCTCACCGACCTGCTGCATCACCAGGCCCCCTCCTCCCTCACCGACCTGCTGCATCACCAGGCCCCCTCCTCCCTCACTGACCTGCTGCATCACCAGGCCCCCTCCTCCCTCACCGACCTGCTGCATCACCAGGCCCCCTCCTCCCTCACCGACCTGCTGCATCACCAGGCCCCCTCCTCCCTCACCGACCTGCTGCATCACCAGGCCCCCTCCTCACTCACCGACCTGCTGCATCACCAGGCCCCTCCTCCCTCACCGACCTGCTGCATCACCAGGCCCCCTCCTCCCTCACCGACCTGCTGCATCACCAGGCACCCTCCTCCCTCACCGACCTGCTGCATCACCAGGCCCCCTCCTCCCTCACCGACCTGCTGCATCAGCAGGCCCCCTCTTCCCTCACCGACCTGCTGCATCACTAGGCCCACTCCTCCCTCACCGACCTGCTGCATCACCAGGCCCCCTCCTCCCTCACAGACCTGCTGCATCACCAGGCCCCCTCCTCCCTCACCGACCTGCTGCATCACCAGGCCCCCTCCTCCCTCACAGACCTGCTGCATCACCAGGCCCCCTCCTCCCTCACCGACCTGCTGCATCACCAGGCCCCTCCTCCCTCACCGACCTGCTACATCACCAGGCCCCCTCCTCCCTCACCGACCTGCTGCATCACCAGGCCCCCTCCTCCCTCACCGACCTGCTGCATCACCAGGCCCCCTCCTCCCTCACAGACCTGCTGCATCACCAGGCCCCCTCCTCCCTCACTGACCTGCTGCATCACCAGGCCCCCTCCTCCCTCACCGACCTGCTGCATCACCAGGCCCCCTCCTCCCTCACTGAGCTGCTGCATCACCAGGCCCCCTCCTCCCTCACAGACCTGCTACATCACCAGGCCCCCTCCTCCCTCACCGACCTGCTGCATCACCAGGCCCCCTCCTCCCTCACCGACCTGCTGCATCACCAGGCCCCCTCCTCCCTCACCGACCTGCTGCATCACCAGGCCCCCTCCTCCCTCACAGACCTGCTGCATCACCAGGCCCCCTCCTCCCTCACCGACCTGCTGCATCACCAGGCCACCTCCTGTCTATCCCCCCACAAACCAAGCACCGGACCTGGGGAGGCTTCTCCATCGCTGCCCCCTCCCTCTGGAACCCCTTTTTATACCAGATTTTAACGTGCGATAAATGTGGTTTTATTTCATGTAAATCAGGTTTTGTATCTTATTTCTTTCCCTCTGTAAAGCGTCTTTGAGCACCTGGTAAAGCGCTTGATCAAGAACATGTATTATTATTATTGTAGTGGTGTATTAAAGATTATTAAAGATATAATAACGGAAAAGCTTCTGAGCAGAAATGCTCCTGATTATCTTAAGTGGTGTTATTATTGCACAGATAAATCACTGCACAGGGTTTACAGACAAATATAGATTTATAGTGTTTTTCACATTATTTATTTACATTTTGTAATCACACTATAGTTATATATCTTCTTAATGTTGATATGTTACTTTTTATGTATTGAATGTAGTTCTCAGGTGCACTGCCTTGTTCACCTGCTGTAAGGAAGTCATGTTTGAATGTAAGATGAATAAAGCAGGTCTGTTATCTAACCCCACCACCCCCCCCCCCCCCATGACCTCACCTGTAGTTCTAACCATGACCTCACCTGTAGTTCTAACCATGACCTCACCTGTAGTTCTAACCATGACCTCATCTGTAGTTCTAATGATGACCTCACCTGTAGTTCTAAAGATGACCTCACCTGTAGTTCTAAAGATGACCTCACCTGTAGTTCTAAAGATGACCTCACCTGTAGTTCTAAAGATGACCTCACCTGTAGTTCTAAACATGACCTCACCTGTAGTTCTAACCATGACCTCCTCACCTGTAGTTCTAACCATGACCTCATCTGTAGTTCTAATGGTGACCTCACCTGTAGTTCTAATGATGACCTCACCTGTAGTTCTAACCATGACCTCACCTGTAGTTCTAAAGATGACCTCACCTGTGGTTCTAAACATGACCTCATCTGTAGTTCTAACCATGACCTCACCTGTAGTTCTAACCATGACCTCACCTGTAGTTCTAAACATGACCTCACCTGTAGTTCTAACCATGACCTCACCTGTAGTTCTAACCATGACCTCACCTGTAGTTCTAAACATGACCTCACCTGTAGTTCTAACCATGACCTCATCTGTAGTTCTAACGATGACCTCATCTGTAGTTCTAATGATGACCTCACCTGTAGTTCTAACCATGACCTCACCTGTAGTTCTAACCATGACCTCATCTGTAGTTCTAACCATGACCTCACCTGTAGTTCTAACCATGACCTCACCTGTAGTTCTAACCATGACCTCACCTGTAGTTCTAATGATGACCTCACCTGTAGTTCTAACCATGACCTCACTTGTAGTTCTAACCATGACCTCATCTGTAGTTCTAATGATGACCTCACCTGTAGTTCTAACCATGACCTCACCTGTAGTTCTAACCATGACCTCATCTGTAGTTCTAATGATGACTTCACCTGTATACCACGACTTCACCTGTAGACTAGCGACTCACCTGCAGTTCGGCGATGGTGACCTTGTGGTAGATCTTCTCCTCGTCTCGCCGCTGGTCCTGAGGGACGGTGATGTTGGCGAGCGCCGTCTCAAACTCCAGGATCTGCTGCATCTGGAACAGGGTGGAGTTCTTTTCTCCGCCTAGCAACAGGCCCAACTCCACCATGTAGTCCAGGTACGCCACCAGCACCTGGAGGGGGTCATGAGGATTCAAGGTTCAAAGGCTTTATTTTCTGTTGGGAAAATCCTGAATGTCCTGCTCCAACATGAGAGTAACTTGATCACAAAGGTATCAACTGTAGCAGTGAACATGACAGGATGTGTGATTACCTAGAAGAGCATCAGGACTGTTTGAGGCAGATGATAGCTATGTGATAAACATGAGGGTGGCAAAGAGGAGGCAAATCCTACTTTGATTGAGCTAAGTATCGCTGGTGTTTTATTTTGTTTTATTTTATTTGGTTGTTTAGCCCTTCAGGCTATAATCTATTGTAATCTGTATTTTCTCCATTCCTGTTCATGTGTCTTCTCGCAATTATCACTGGCCCCGTGTATCTCGTAATCGCTATAACCGGCCTGCTCTCGTCTATCCCACGTGCTCCACTGAGATCCAACATCTAGTTTCAGGTGGCCTGTGGAACTGCCAGTCAGCTGTTCCTAAGGCTGACTTCATCTCTGGCTACGCCTCCCTGCAGTCTCTGGATTTCCTTGCTCTCACTGAGACCTGGATTACTCCATCCAACACATCCACCCCAGCAGCTCTCTCCACAGCATATTCCTTCTCCCATACACCCAGACCCACTGGCAGAGGAGGTGGCACTGGTCTCCTGCTCTCTCCCAAATGGAGCTTTTCCCTCTTCAAGCTACCTAACTTCACTCCTTCCACCTTTGAGTTCCATGCCGTCACAGTAACCCATCTTATACAGTTAACCATTGTTGTTCTCTACCGTCCACCAGGCGCCTGTGGGGACTTCTTGGAGGAATTAGATCATCTCCTCTCACACATCCCTGAAACTGGCCCTCCCGCTGTACTTCTCGGAGACTTCAACCTCCAGACAGGGAAGATAGACGAACTAACATCTCTGTTAACCGCCTTTGCTTTCTCACTGTCTCCGTCCCCACCGACTCATAAAGCTGGCAATGTCCTTGATCTCATATTCTCAAGGAACTGCGCTACTTCTAACCTCTCTGTAAACCCGCTCCACACATCCGATCACTTCTTCATTTCATTCTCTCTATCCCTTTCCAAACATAACAAACTAATCTCTTCCCATCCTGCACTTGTCCGCCGTAACCTTCGCTCCCTCTCCCCCTCTACCTTTGCCTCATCGGTGCTCTCAGCCCTCCCTTCCTCTGACTCGTTCCAACTCCTGCCTCCAAACTCTGCTGCAGAAACTCTCCTCTCTACTCTCTCATCCACTCTGGACTCGCTCTGTCCTCTCACATCTCGGCAGGCTCGTCAGTCCCCTCCTGCTCCCTGGCTAAATGATGCACTGCGTGCTAATAGAACTTTGAAAAAAAGGTTGATGATATTCGCTCTTCTTTTTCTGACTCACCTCTACTCACCGCTGGGTCACCAGACCCTCCTTCCACCAACACACTAACCTCCTTTTCCCCTCTCTCTCCAAGTGAGGTTCTTACCCTCATTACCTCTGCCCGCCCTACCACCTGTCCTCTGGACCCTATCCCTTCAAACCTCCTTCAGACTATCGCTCCTGATATTCTACCGTTTCTCACCCATTTCATCAACACTTCTCTAACTTCTGGTCACTTTCCAAACAGTCTCAAGGAGGCAAGAGTAAACCCTCTCCTAAAGAAACCCACTCTCAACCCGTCTGATGTTATAAACTACAGGCCTGTCTCTCTCCTCCCGTTCCTGTCTAAATCACTTGAACGCGCTGTCTTTAAACAACTCTCCTGTTATCTCCATCAGAACAACCTTCTGGATCCGCACCAGTCTGGTTTCAAGGCAGGTCACTCCACAGAAACTGCTCTCATTGCTGTCACGGAGGAACTGCACACTGCCAAAACTGCATCCCTCTCCTCTGTCATCATCCTGTTGGACCTGTCTGCTGCATTCGACACGGTGAATCATCAGATCCTCCTTCGCACTCTCCAAAAACTTGGAGTTTCAGGCTCTGCACTTTCCCTCCTCACCTCATACCTGAAAGACCGTACCTACAGGGTGACTTGGAGAGGGTCTGAGTCCGACCCTTGTCAATTAACTACGGGGGTCCCTCAGGGCTCTGTTCTTGGTCCCCTCCTCTTCTCCCTGTACACAAACTCGCTCGGATCAGTCATTAGCCCGCATGGTTTTTCATACCACTGCTACGCTGACGACACCCAATTAATTCTGTCCTTTCCCCGCTCAGAGACCCAGGTCGTCGCACGCATCTCTGATTGTCTAGCTGACATCTCTCAGTGGATGTCTGCTCATCACCTCAAACTCAACCTTGACAAGACTGAGCTGCTCTTCCTTCCGGGAAAAGATTGTCCCACTCTTGACCTAACAATCAACATCGGCACCTCAGTTGTTTCCCCGACTCAGACTGCAAGGAATCTGGGTGTGACCCTAGATAACACCTGTCCTTCACTGCAAACATCGCTGCTACAAACCCGCTGCTGCAGATACACGCTTTACAACATCAGGAAGATACGTCCCCAGCTGACTCAGAAAGCCACGCAGGTTCTGGTCCAGGCTCTCGTCATCTCACGCCTAGACTACTGCAACTCCCTCCTGGCTGGTCTACCTGCATGTGCCATCCGACCTCTGCAGCTCACCCAGAATGCAGCGGCTCGCCTGGTCTTCAACCTTCCTAAATGTTCCCACACCACTCCGCTCCTCCGCTCCCTCCACTGGCTTCCGGTAACTGCTAGAATCCACTTCAAGACACTGGTACTTGCTTACCATGCTGCGAATGGATCTGGCCCTTCCTACATCCAGGACATGGTTAAACCGTACACCCCAGCGCGTGCACTACGCTCAGCATCGGCCAAACGACTCGCTGCGCCCTCGCTGCGAGGGGGACCCAAGTTCCCAACGGCGAAAACACGTGGGTTTGCTGTCCTGGCTCCAGGATGGTGGAATGAGCTCCCCATTGACATCAGGACGGCAGATAGCTTACACACCTTCCAGACTGAAAACTCATCTCTTTCGACTCCACTTCGAGCGATAGAACTATTAACGAAGCACTTTTATACTAATAAAGGGCTGGCTTATCTAAAGCCAGTTGAGTAGCACTTGAAATGTTTTTGCTCTATGAAACCTGATGTACTTATATGATTCTGTTTTCTTCAAGTTGTATTCTGTTGGTCGAACGCACTTATTGTAAGTCGCTTTGGATAAAAGCGTCAGCTAAATGCAATGTAATGTAATGTAATGATGATTCAGCCTCTATGGAGAGAGACATCAAGCATGCTCATTTCTGACGTGGAGCTAATCTGAAGCAAACATTGAATACTGCTTTCTATTCCTCCATCTTGTGACTGTGTAACTCCCTCTCTTGCGGCTTTCACACCAGCGCTTTTCCCTTTCTAGCTCCGAGCGGGAGCTTTTCTGGTTCAGCTCCGGTTTCCCTTTTCTGCTCCCGCTCTGTTCACAACCAAACCGCCCAGAGCTGCCGCTGCTGCGTCCATGACGTCACCGTTTACGTGCCTGCTTCATAAAATCCAAACCGCGCGGAACATCCCTCACATCGACAACAACAATAATGGCCAATTGTATTGAAGCGCATCGGACGACTTTACAAGGTGACGACTTTACTTGAACTTTACAAACATCACATGCGAAATGCAAGACTTCTTTGTGGTCTTCAGCATCTACTTCAACGACGAATCTGCCCCTGCCCCCGCCTCGACGTAAGAGAGACGTAAGCGACGCCGCCTCTTAGCTCCGAAGCTCTTGCCTCTAGACCGAGCCGGAGCTGAAAACGCGTTGTGTGAAAGGGGCATCTTGGACATCCGCATGTGGAAGGACACTGTTCAGGAACTAGTTGATGCTCTGTATTGTGATGACTACTTCCATTCTGGAGAGGATCACAGACACATGGATCCTGAGACTGAAGATCAAGCGGCGGGACAGGTTTCTGTCATAAGCACAAAGCCACAGTGTAGAAATGGCAATGAAATGATTCTGACGCTGAGCTCATACCAACAATGCAACATATATATAAAAAACACAAAAATACAAAGTAGTGCAAAAAAGAGCTTCTCCATCACAAGATGAACTCCACCTGTGTTTGTATGATCAGCTGCAGGGGGGTCTCACCTTCTCATTGGGCAGTCTTGTTGAGGTAATAATCTCTGGACGGCAGGAAGAGCCCTGATTGGTCCACCTGTGTAGAGCAGGGTTAAAGGTGAGCCAATCACAGCCACAGATATCTAACTTCAAACCCTGACTACCTGCCCTCCGACAAGAACATTTAAAAATATAGAACAAAAACCCAAAATATCAGATTTTATAACGCAAATTCTCTGCTTTGCATTTCCTTAATGTGTTTCTTTCCTGTGTTTCTATATGTCTTGCTGATGGCTCTCTAAACAAAATCAAATGTAGTTCTTCTTTACCCTCCATGAGGTGTGGTTCTGGTTCAATCTGGTTCTGGTTCAATGTGGTTCTGGTTGCTATAGAGCGGTGCAGTGATGACGTATTTTTGTAGTTCGACCCTGAAGGAAGCTGCCGGTTCCCTCGACAAAAAGCAACGGGATTTTGGAATATTGTAAAACAGAAGGTCTGTGGAAAACGAACCTGTTTGATAAATGCCGTTTGTTCATCATAAATCTAATGGCCAGAAGCTAAATGCTAACGTTATGCTATAAAGGAACTACAGGCGAGTCCAGCAGCCGACTTCAACGTCACGCCAACTTCAGATCCAGATTCAAACCACCAGATTCTAGATGGAACGAGTTGAAGCGTTTGTTTGAAACACTCTGCAGGAGGCAGGGACTTGCTTTCAAGCTGAACAGAAACTAACTTAGAGGAGTGTTCACGTGTTCGGCGTAATGACGTACAACGGCCTCCACGACTTCTGTAGTCCTATTCAGCCACTTGGTAACAACCATCGTTTTTCAGACATGTCCACTCTTCAGAAATCACCAGCGGGGGTCACTGCTGATGATTTAATGTCCTAGAACAAAACGTGATCCTTCTCTTCAATGTGTCTCAAACCACAGACCTTAGTTCAGATATTTTCCTAAACCCTATGGAGAGATCCCATTGGCTCTGAGACCAGGGAACAGGAAGTGGAGAAATGCTGACTCACTTCCTGGTTTAGGACTCGTTCCTGCACCGCTCTATGGTCCTGGTTCTGGTTTACTGGATGACGTTGCTGTTGGAGTGTTTGGGGTCTGCGCTGACGCCGACGCTGAAGAAAGGCTGTCCTCTGTAGGGGCCAGAAACCACCTTCAGGACCCTCCATGAAGTTGTCTTTATCCAGGGGCCCGTCATGTTCCAGCCCCGATCTGCAGGAAGCGTTTAACATTATATTACAGAACGTGGACTGGATCCCCACAAAAACAAGACGCCTGTTGTCAGATGACGCTCTGCTCTTCACTTTAAATGCTCAATTGAGCACAAAATAAAAGGTGATCTTCGACAGTGTACAGTGGCAAGACAAGGTGAGCAACCTGCATCTATGGTACATCTGTTCTAATTATGGTCTGATCTTCAAAATAAGTTACATAATCAACAAACACACTCCGTTTTAACTCATACACACGTTATTGTTTTTCTCCATATTGACACACATCATTCAAACATTCAGTGTCCCCAGACTTCAACAAAAGGAACATGAGTTAGGAGATAGTAAACCTCATTTAAAACAGTGGAACAAGATGTTGTTCGAGTTACTTTGACTTATATTCACTCAATATTGATTTGGTGTGGGGATGTTTGTCTCCACTTGTGTCTTAGCGAAGATCGATACATTTTATGGCCAATTCAAACCAGGAAACTCTGACTTCAAGCTTAACCCTTGAACGGTCCGCAGCCATATCTGCAGCAGGTGGTCCATCCAGGTTCAAAGAGAGCCCCCTTCATAGTCCAGGGTTGGTTGTAACGGAATACATGTGACGGCGTTACGTAATCAGAATACAAAAAATCAAGTAAACTGTATCAGCTCGCGTTACATTTGAAAAACGAGTAAACTGATTACAGTTACTTTCGTAAACCTGAAGTAAATACATTTTGGAATACTTATTGGAATTATTGGTGGAAAGATTTCCTCTCAACATTTCATATTCATTACTAAAGGTACAGCCGAATCATCACAAGCGCACAAAACCTAATTTACAGCGACCCCCAGATGGACCAAAAAAGCGTTTGAAAAAAAAATCGCGGGTCCGCTCGCTCAGTGAAACAATAACAACGGAAACATGGAGGAACAAAAGTCTGCGTTTAAATCGCTGTGCGCGTGTGTGTGTCTGTGTCTGGGTCTGTGTGTGTTGTGTGTGTGTGGTGTGTGTGTCTGTCTGTCTGTCTGTGTCTGTGTCTGTGTCTGTCTGTCTGTGTGTGTGTGTGTGTGTGTCTGTGTCTGTGTCTGTGTCTGTGTCTGTGTCTGTCTGGTGTCTGTGTCTGTGTGTGTGTGTGGGTGTGTGTGTGTGTGTGTGTGTGTGTGTGTGTGTCTGTGTCTGTGTGTGGTGTCTGTGTCTGTGTCTGTGTCTGTCTGTCTGTCTGTGTCTGTGTGGGTGTGTTGTGTGTGTGTGTGTTAGGGCTTGTAGGAGTTATGAGATTTTTACAACCCCACTCGCTCCGCGTGGTCGTTTTGACGAGTCTCGCTTAAAATCATAACAGGAAGGAAATCAGACGAGAACACCCAGATACCAGTTTAAACAATAATCTGTTTTAATTATCAAAGGTAATAATGCAATGCAATATATCCATTACAATACAATATAATATAATACAATTATATTGGTAAATGTTATAAAGAAGTAGCCGGCCCACTTCTGCCCTGTTTCGCCGTGCTGCGGAGATCCTTCTGTCCTGACAAGCCAGAGAAAAGAGGCCGAAACGTCAGGAATCGACAGGAGATATACCAGAATAGAGAAGGAAGGGGTTAGGTCAGCTGGTCATCTTTTCAGGGTCATCTCATTGGGAGAACGCAAAATATGCTTTGACACGTGACCCAGCGCTGGCCAGCAGAAAACCAAACAGGCCCATTTTACAACAAAACACATCTTATCACCCAAGTCCATTGTGTTTCTTTATTAAAGCCATACTTGTTGGAAATATAACAGTCATTATCCCATGACATCCTCAGAACTAGCTCATCAACAACGCCTAACTGTCTTCATACCCCCCAATCATCTCTGAACTTTTATTCACCCGAAGTCAGCTCACCCATAATCTAGAAGGACCATTGTCTCTCTTAACTGTGTGACTAAATTCTCAAGGCCTGCAGGATGCGCATAATTAACTTAGGAAGAATTTAGCCATTATATCTAATGGTTAACCAAGAAAAACACTCAAAGGGTAATCTTTTCACTCAAAACAGAACTCACAAGTAATTCTGCATTTTACCCTCAAAAATAGCCTAAAGCACCCTTTTGATAAAAAGGGTAAAAGTGAAAGAAAAAGACTATTGCGCTAATCTACTTTTAAGAAAAGGGAACATTGTTTCAGGAATATAAAAAAACCTCTCTATATTTAAGAGGAAAAATGTATTTGTTCCTTCAACTATTAACACACAGGATGTATATACCCACACATATATTAGGGATACCTGATGCATACACCTCTTATATAGTTGGTGAGATGAAAATGAATAACCAAAAATATGCTGCATCATATCTTCTGCATAATACTCTTCATAAACTTCCACAGGCTGTACCCGAATATTCGACTATTCGAATATTCGTTCGTTGGCCAACTATTCGGGTTTTAATTTCATTATTCGGATATTTGTTTGTTTGTTTTTTACATTTTTCCTAAATGTATGCTATCATAAAGGCGAATTGCCATATTCTTATACTATATTATACTTTTGAATTGCACTGTGTAAAATGCGGAAATATATACAATCTCAGCCTGTGCTCCTGACATCAGCGTTCACTCACAGTCAGTAACCGGCACGCTTCACCGATCGTTTCAGCACACCTGAACACAAAATGCCGAAGACTCCAGCTGTGTGGACCATTTTAAATTGGAGACGACGGTAAAGAAGAAAGCATGTGCCAAATATGCGACAAGAACCTGGCCGGTGGCACAACAACTCTGAAAAGTCACCGGATGCTGTAATACTAGCCTAGCTTAGCTTAGCTGTTGTCAAGTAGCCATGATGAAGCTGCTTAATCCGCCGTTTAAAAACAGTAACGTTACAACATGGTAAAAAAAAGCGTTCAAGCAAGCGAATTGTTTTTTTATATTAGTTTTTCAATTTTAATCCGAATAATGAAAATAATAGGAGCAATGTGGAACATCTGGGGCTAAGGCAATTATTGGGCATACAGTTCGTTCATTCTAGTTTTCGTTCTCATTTATTTAAATACTGTGACTGTATCGGTACCAGTGTTACCTGTTAGGCCGACTGTTACGGCTGTTATAAAAGTAGTGTTGTTATAATAGAATATGTGGTTTGTATCTTCAGGTTGTAAAACGTTAGACGGAATTTGGAACCAGATTTGGTCCCCGGGGCGCGCGCTGCGGCTGGGTTCCAAATTCAAGGGACACATTTAGTTTTAATGTATGCGAGTACTAGAGACAATAAATACCATATAACTCGTAATAGTATGCTCTTTCTGCGCTTCTGCTTAACAGCGTGTTGTCAGGGTGTCTCGGATTCGGAGCGTGTTATGACATTTTTTGAAAATGTTTTTTTTATTAAAAAAAACAAACAATCTCTCCGCAACGAATATTTCGAATATTCGCTGCTGATTACTACCGAATATCCGAGCCCGGAAAATGGTATTCAGGACAGCCACTAGTGTTGTGGTGTGTGTGTGTGTGTGTGTGTGTGTGTGTGTGTGGTTGTGTGTGTGTGTGTGGGTGTGTGTGTGTGTGTGTGGGTGGGTGATGTGTGTGTGTGGTTAAAACACATCAGCCTGCGGTCGCTCTTTAGCCTTTCTAATGATTCTGAGGTAACACAGTGAAGGCGGTGCGTGAAAGGCACTGCGCGCTCCTCTTCTCTCAGAGGCTGAGTGAACCCTCCCGCTGCCTCCCTGGCGCTTCAGAAGATTTCATGAAGTGAAGGAGGTGTTCCTTCCAATAAAGCAGCTGCGGGCAGCAGATACTGTGCGAGTCACGGACATGAATTCATAGATCAAGGCAGGACTGGTGCACACACTCTCCTGTTTTGCCGATCCGGTGCTTAAACTATAGCTCTACACCCCTGGCCGAAATGTCCCTTAAAATGAAGTCCGAGTTCGACATTTTAATTCATGTCCTGCCAACACTGGCAGGACAGAAGGCGACACGCCCGTTCTAAGCCGTGTCCTCACTCCTCACATCCCAAGCTTGCATCCCCAGAGAGTGTATTATGTTGTTGCATCGTTTCAGAGGTTATGTTTCAGTTGTGCTCTTGATACGCCATTAAAACAGTAAAACACGTTCAGTTTCCTTTTGCTTTTTGTGTCTCCTGTTCACTAACACATCCATCTGTGATGGAAAAAGAAAGTAATCCAAAGTAATCTAAAGTAATCTGATTACGTATCTTTTTAAGACACGTAACTGTAACTGTATTCGGATTACTTTCAGAGCCATGTATTCAGTAATCAGTAACTGATTACATTTACAAAGTAACCCTCCCAACCCTGTTCATAGTACAGGAAACTCTGTATGCTGGATATCACCTGGCTAACCTTCTATCTGGCTCCCTAGTGAACCCCTCAGGTGTGTGGTTACCTTGGCGATGAGGTCTACGAGCGGCTGGGCCCCCAGCTCCTCAATCCTCTGCGTGTTGAGGCAGGACAGGTAGTAGGGACTGGGTCTTCCTCTCGGCTTCACTGCTGCCGTTAAACGTCCCGTTCTCTGCGGGGACACCACGACTCACGTTAGCCACGCCTACAGCTCGTTTAACTCACGTTACCATGTTACATATTGACAACTCACTTTACCACAGTTACAGCTCGTTAACAATCTCGTTAACTCACAATACCCACAGTTTGAGGGCCTGGTTCTCCCCCCCCCCCCTCACCCAGCAAGGTGTTTAAGCAGGCGCCTGGTTCTCCCCCCCCCTGCCTCCCCCCTCACCCAGCAGGTGTTTGAGCAGGGCCTGGTTCTCCCCCCCCTGCCTCCCCCCCTCACCCAGCAGGTGTTTGAGCAGGGCCTGGTTTCTCCCCCCCCTGCCTCCCCCCCCTCACCCAGCAGGTGTTTGAGCAGGGCCTGGTTCTCCCCCCCTGCCTCCCCATCCTCACCCAGCAGGTGTTTGAGCAGGGCCTGGTTCTGCCCCCCTGCCTCCCCCCCTTCACCCAGCAGGTGTTTGAGCAGGGCCTGGTTCTGCCCCCCCTCACCCAGCAGGTGTTTGAGCAGGGCCTGGTTCTCCCCCCCTGCCTCCCCCAGCAGGTGTTTGAGCAGGGCCTGGTTCTGCCCCCCCGGCCCTCCCCCCGCCTCACCCAGCAGGTGTTTGAGCAGGGCCTGGTTCTCCCCCCCTGCCTCCCCCTCACCCAGCAGGTGTTTGAGCAGGGCCTGGTTCTGCTCCCAGATGCTGTTGAAGGTGGACCACCTGGAGCGCCCGTCGGGCAGCGGGTTCTTCCTCACCCAGCCTCCACAGGAGAACTGGTAGAAGTCAGAGCAGGGGTCCACGCTGCGGTCCATCGCCTCGCCCATCTGAGCCGCCACGGAGACGCAGGCCTCTGTCCAGGCACAGCCCGCGCCCACCGCCTGAGGGGGGAGGAGTTACAGATGTAATTAAAAGTAAAGAACAATTATAAAGACTGAAGACCAATTTTTTTTGTGATTTATTTCAAACATGTAAAACAATAATACAAAAAGATAATAATAATTAAACTGCTGTCGCACTTGTGGCGCGCAGTGATGAAGCGGGCCCTCGCATTCCGTGCGCCTGTCGGGGAGGGCAGCCGGTCGTCCCGGCGTCAAGCAGACGTGCGCGAGTCCTGGGAAATGAGCCGTTCTCATTCTATAATTTTCGCGTCCCAGACTCCCAGGTCCTCCGGCATCGACCCGGAAACAGATGTCGGCGCACCGTCTCGAAGGAAAACAAATTTCTCTAAAGGGTCGTCGAGGATCGATTATCGAGGAGGCTGTCCTGGAGGAGCCGTAACCGAGGATACACTGATTTAGAGGAGAGAGGAGTGTCTCTAGAGGAGCTATAACCGAGGGTCACTGAAGTATTCTCCTGAAGACGATTTCAGCCACAGTGATGTTTAAAAGAGGCGTGACGCATGGCTGACTTCTGTCAATGAAGCACAGCTCTGCAACTGTTCCCGTTGTGATTATAAGTTATTTGAGATGATCAAATGTGCATCAGGACTTTCTGCCCTTTACCGTTTGTTTACCTCACTAATCACATGTTCCCCGGATGTTAGGTGATGTTACAGTGAGAACAGCTGCTGAGGTCAGTGCAGAAAGCAGAACAGTTGTGTATAATATATATCGCTCAATAACAAATGTAACAGGCCTACATGTCACACTTTATTTGTAGGCTTTAGGAGATATCTACAATAAACGTTTAGGGTTAGGGTTAGGGAGTGTATAGGTGTCTTTTGTAATGAATATGCCGCCAGCAAAGGGGCGTTTTTGGACTAACTGTGTGTGGTGTGTGTGTGTGTGTGTGTGTGTGTGTGGTGTGTGTGTGTGTGTGTGTGTGTTGAGAGAGAGAGAGAGTTGATGTGCCAGGCAGACAGGCAGGTCTCAGTAGCTTATCTGACATATAATTGGTCAAAAATGGTACATTGTCCGTTAGCCTACGAGCTCCCCCGTTTGATTTTTTCCGATCATTCTCCTAGGAGGAGTCCGCAGAAATGTGATTAAAATGGCTGAAAAATGCACATTTTTCAAAATGGCCGACTTTCTGGTGGGCGGGGGCTAATGGAAGGCAATTTGAAAATATGTGTGCAATCCTAATAGCAATATGTATACAGCGTTTCGTGAATATTGGAGAAAGTATACGCGAGTAGTTTGGAGTCATTTGGAGTAATTTGTGACATGTAAATCGTAAAAAATGGTGTATTCGCTGTTAGCTTACGACCCTCCACGATTGAGCTATCAAAAATGTTCTTCTCAATTTAGCATCATATTGGATAGGGGCTGAACTTGTGCTGGATTTGAATTTTTCCGATCATTCCCCTAGGAGGAGTTAGTGCAAGAATGTGCTTAAAATGCATGAAAAACGCACATTTTTTTAAATGGCCGACTTTCTGGGGGGCGGGGCTAATGGAAGGCAATTTGAAATATGTGTGCAATCATAATAGTAATGGGTATACAGCGTTTCGTGAATATCGGAAAAAATATATGCGAGCAGTTTGGAGTAATTTGCGCCATGTAAATCGTCAAAAATGGTGTATTCGCTGTTAGCTTACGACCTCCATGAGTGATTTTTTCAAAAATGTGCTCCTCAATTAAGTATCATATTGGATAGGGGCTAAACCTTTCCTGCATTGGAATTTTTCCGATCATTCCCTAGGAGGAGTTCGCAAGAACGTGCGTTTTGAAAATGGCTGGAAAAACGCAATTTTTTCAAAATGGCCGACTTTCTGGGGGGCGGGGCTAATGGGAATGTATATACAAATATGTCCGCAATTCCATGAGGAATGTCTGTGCCAAAATTCGTGAAGTTCTGAGGAAACTATATGTGACTACCACACAATAGGGGGCGCTAGTGAGCAGTTTTTTTTGAAAATGTACGTTTTTTTTTTTACATTCTCGAAAAGGTCCTGGGCTCGACGTGTGTCCAAAGTTTTGCGTCCGAAGCTCATTTTATGCTATCGCAATTTTAAAATAATGTATAGGCCACGCCCACATTCTGCATTTGTTTCGACACTTTGAATCTAAGTTTGTCGCCCGAGAGTATGTGTAAAAAAAAAAAAAGATTTAGTCCATCCGCTCTTGAGTTAATAAATTGGTGGTGTTTTTGGCGCCCCCTATAGTACAAAATGAAAATGCTTTGGTGTGCCTATTCGCCAAGACAGACCTGAACGTTTCCACCAAAATCTGTGATGTTTGGATACATTGTTGATGAATTATTGAGGCAAGGCAAGGCAAGTTTATTTATATAGCACTTTCCAACACAAGGCAATTCAAAGTGCTTTACAAAAAATGAAAGAGATTAGAAATGGCATTTAAAATCAGTCATTAAAAAGAAAAGCTAATAAATTAAACATTAAAAGAAAAAATACATGGATAAAAGTTACAGTGCAATTAAACATTAAAAGAAAAAGTACATGGATAAAGTTACAGTGCAGTCTAAGATATGAATAGTTTCAATTAAAAGCAGCGACAAAAAGAAAAGTCTTCTTGCTGGATTTTTAAAGTAGTCAGAGTTGCAGCGGGACCTGCAGGTTTTCCTGGGAGTTTGTTCCAGATTATTTGGAGCATAATAACTGAACGCTGCTTCTCCATGTTTAGTTCTGACTCTGGGGACAGAAAGCTGACCAGTCCCTGAAGACCTGAGAGATCTGGATGGTTCATAATTTAGCAGGAGGTCAGAAATGTATTTTGGGCCTAAACCATTCAGTGCTTTATAACCAGCAGCAGTATTTTGAAATCTATTCTTTGACCACACAGGAAGCCAGTGTAAAGACTTCAGAACAGGAGTGATGTGATCCACTTTCTTAGTGTCAGTGAGGACTCGAGCAGTGGCGTTCTGAATCAGCTGCAGCTTCCTAATAGATGTTTTAGTGAGACCTGTGAAGACACCATTGCAGTAGTCGAGTCTACTGAAGATAAAGCATGGACAAGTTTTTCCAAATCCTGCTGTGACATTAGTCTTTTAATCCTAGATATATTCTTTAGGTGATAGTAGGCTGATTTAGTAACTGTTTTAATGTGACTGTTGAAACTCAGGTCAGAGTCCATGACTACACCTAGATTTCTGGCTTTATCTGTTGTTTTGAACATTGCAGACTGAAGCTCAGCGCTAACTTTTATACGTTCTGCCTTGGCTCCAAAAACCATTACCTCAGTTTTATCTTTGTTTTAATTGGAGAAGAAGTTCTGACACATCCAGTCATTGATTTTGTTCAATGCACTTACTCAGTGTTTGAATTGGAGCATAGTCTCCTGGTTGAAATTGTTACGTAAATTTGTGTGTCATCTGCATAGCTATGGTAACTTATTTTGTTGTTCTTCATATCTGAGCCAGTGGTAGCATGTAGATGTTAAAGAGAAGAGGCCCCAAGATGGAGCCTTGAGGAACCCCCACATGTCATATTTTGTCAACTCAGATGTGTATTTACCTATAGAAACAAAGTTGTTTCTGTCCTTTAAGTAGGATTCAAACCAATTCAGAACTGTTTCCGAAAGTCCCCACCCAGTTCTCCAGTCGGTCTAGTAATATGCTGTGGTCAACAGGTTCACAACGCAGCACTGAGATCTAATAATACTAACACTGAAGTTCTTCTGCCACTGTCTGTGTTTAAGTGGATGTCATTAAAGACCTTTACAAGAGCAGTCTCAGTGCTGTGGTTTGGACGAAAGCCTGACTGGAACACATCAAAACAGTCATTTAAATGCAAGAAATTACTCAACTGTTGAAAAACAACTTTTTCAATGATTTTACCTAGAAATGGGAGGTTTGATATGGGCCTTGTAATTGTTCATTACTGAAGCATCTAGATTATTCTTTTTTTAAGAGCGGTTTAATGACTGCAGTTTTCAGGGCTGTGGAAAAATACCTGAGTGAGAGATTTGTTTACTATATGAAGTAGATCTGAGGCCATGCAAGGAAAAACATCTTTTGAAAAATCCTGTTTGGAATAATATCAAGGCAGCAGGAGGAGGATTTTCAGAGTTTGAATAATGTCTCTAGGTTTTTATCATTAATATGATGGAATTGTGTCATGATGCTCTTGAATTGATGTTAAGTGGAGATAGGGACAACACATTTGCTGTTCCTGATGCAGAGGCATGACTGCTTGTCTGATTTTCTTGAATTTTGTCCGTGAAAAAGGCAAAATCATTGCACGCCCCTGGTGGATAGAAATTCAGAAGCTACTGACACTGGGGGGTTAGTTAGTCTGCGACGGTAGCAAACAAGGCACGTGCGTTGTTTTTGTTTTTGGTAATGATGTCAGAGAGAACGATTGTCGTGCGTTTTTTCAATTCCAAATTATAATAGGCCAAGTCTCTCTTTATAGATTTCAAAGTGAACCTGGAGATTTGTTTTTTCGCCACCTGCGTTCAACTTTTCGAACATTCTCTCTTTTTCACGGTTCATGGCCTTTCTCCATGGAGATATTTTCTTGCCAGACACTTCCTTTACCTTAGTTGGAGACAATGGCATCTATAACATTTTTAATTTTTGAATTAAAATGATCTACTAGCTCATTTACTGAGATGTTGGCAGGGGGCAAGTGTGGAAGAGAAATTCTGAGTAAACATTTCCTAGTATTTTCAGTTAAATATCGCTTTGTGGTTACCTCTTTTTGAAACATTTTTGTGAACAGAAATAGAGCTCTCAAGAAACACAGGAATGGTCAGAGAGTGCAACATCAGTCACCACAACCTTAGAGATATTCAGACCCTTTGAGATAATTAAGTCCAGAGTGTGCCCCTTATTGTGCGTGGGCTCCGTCACAGCTGAGTCAGTCCATAGCTATCAAGAACACAAAACAGTTCTTTAGCCCCTCTGTCCTGGGGGTTGTCAACATGGATGTTAAAATCACCAAACAATGACTAGACGGTCAAAGTCAATACACACTATA